CTTTCCTTTATAGTTCTCAGATTGGTAAGCTTTCTGCTTCAACACATGTAATTCCTTCTTGTAGGCAATGGACGAAACTCTTCCAAATTGAAGCTTTTCCATTTCTCATGTCTTTGTCCCCTATTCTGCACTGGATTCACCTACCTATCATTTGGAACATTAGCAGGTGGTTTGAATGTTTCCTTTTGACTCACCTAGGGATATAGACTATCCGGCCTTCGAGGGATCCGCGCTTGTCGAACAGGAAGGAACTTTTTTTATATTTCCAGTTTCCCCTCTTTTGAGCAACCTGGCCCTCTTATAGTTTTTTGCAGTCTTTGGATCATACATTGAGCTGCACATTGGGCACATCAAGGCTTCAGAGTGTTTTTTCTGGCATCGAATGAGAAAATCTAGCAGACTCTTTCCTAACTTTGAGAAAATCTAAGGAAGGGAAAAAAATATGGTCTCGCAACCAAGAGAAAGAGTAAGGAAGTCGATTACGCAAGGGGAAAGTATTAGCACCCCTCACGTCTATGGTACTCCACAAGATTCACTCAAGTTTATTCTAATCAAAGGGTGTGTAAAAATCTAAAGCTTAATGCTAAGGGAATGCATGCAAGAGTATATACAAAAAGAAAGTTTTTATTAGTTGTGCCCGTCGCAGTTGTGAATCTTTATGCCTACGTATCCTCTTTGTGCAATGAGAGATCAGAGCACTCGTAGTTCACCTAAAAAGGTGTTTTGGTTTGTTGTGTGTATTTTATGAATAGTGTTGGCGAAGCATGTCCTTTTTGAAGGTTTTCAAAAGAAAAACCCCAAAGGGAAAAATAAGTTTGATTGGTTTGTGTTTTTTACCTTGAAAAGGGATTTGGTGATTTTAACCACATTAAAGACTGTGACATGAGAAACTTTGGATGGCCGAGTTAGACGCCTCGTATCCAGAGTGCTATGTACGTGCTTAAGGCTCAAGGCACATTGTTCACCTCTTTATTGTTAAGTGTTTTGAGTTTTTGAGAAGAAAAGAAGTTTTAGTTTTAAAATGAATGCAAAAGATAAAGACTAATCAAAAGGGGACCTCAATCCTACTTGTTATCATGCTTGTGGACCTAAAGTTGGGATGAGAGGATATCTACCTAATATTGTCATACATGGATTCAAATCCTAAGGTCTATTTAGTTCAATCTTAGACAATAATGAACTAAAGGATCCTATAGGGAGCATGCAAACTCACAAGGAAAAAAGATAAGAAGAAGAGAGAAACAAGCAATCAAATACTTAGATAAGATAATGAAAGCAAACAAACATCATAATTAAGAACTTAGACAAGATAACTAAAGCATACCCACTTAGATAAGCAAGTAACACACAAACACTCATGCAATAGGTGGAAACCTGAGCACTAATAAACATAGATCAAAGATATCACAAAAGCTAACTCAACCAAGATATCATGTCATCAAGGTAGAGATAGAATAAAGAGGGATAACATTTGAAAAAACACACATCATAATGAGAAGTATACACTTACTCAAGAAATAAACACTTAACTAAGATATCATGTAATCAAGGTAAGATAAGAGAAAAGAGATGGCAATTAGACAATCACACATCATATGAGAAGTAGACAATTACTCAAACATTAGGCCCTTAGATAAGATAACTAAACATACCTACTTAGATAGGCAAGTATTAAAGAAGAGAGAACATGTAAATAGGTAGAAACCTAATCAAGTAACCTAGTAGAAAGGAAGATGATAAGACATCAAGTAACCAAGTAGAAAGGAAGATGATAAGACATCAAATAATCATACATGCATATAGGTAGATACCTAAGCAAGTAACCGAGTAGAAAGGAAGATGATAAGAAGTCAAGTAACCAAGTAGAAAGGAAAATGATAAGACATAAAGTAACCAAGTAGAAAGGAAGATGATAAGTAATCCAACATACATGCATATAGGTAGATACCTAAGCAAGTAACCAAGTAGAAAGGAAGATGATAATACATCAAGTAACCAAGTAGAAAGGAAGATGATAAGACATCAAGTAACCAAGTAGAAAAGGAAGATGATAATACATTAAATAAATGTAAAGAAAGATGATGGAAAAGCATCAAATAACCAAGTAGAGAAAGATGATGGCAAAAAATCAACCAAAGATGATAATAAATCAAAATTAGGAAATAAGCAAAGATGACAAAACATCAAGAATCAAGTAAATAAGAAGATGGCAATACATCAAGCATCAAGTAAATAAGAAGATGGAAATAAATCAACAAAACATGCATATAGGTAGATACCTAAGAAAGAAGGTAAACAATTATAAGAACAGATGCCAATACATGAAGTCAACAAAATTCAAAGAATAAAAGAGATAGGCATACAAGAGATAGACATCTCCTAACCTATGAATTATCCTACTAAAAGAAGTGATGAAACTAAGCAAGGAAGCAATGGTTAACCAATCAAGAGACATGGAATGAAAACACATCAAAATATCATGAAGGTTCTGGTCCTAACATGTTATAGGCCTTAACCTACCCTAATCATGGCAATAAGGGTCAAGAAGAAGAAGAAAATATCTAACTAGGCAAGTAGAAGTACAATTAAGCAATTAGAATACATAACTTCAAACAATGTTAAAGTAATAAAAAAAAGAGGGACAAGAGGTGGATACCTAAGTCTAAACATGTTTTAAGACATCACAAGTTATCACCAAGAGGTCACATGTTAGTGAACATCACTTAATCAAAACAAGTATGCATGGTAAAGGGAGATGAAACTCAAACAAGTGACAAGAATGGACTTAAGTCCTAAACAAGTAGAAAACACTTAAGGGGCAGAAACATTGCATCACATTAAAACACAAGACATATGAAACAAATCCATAGGGGTCATGTATAAGAAGTATGGACTTAAAGTCACAAAAGAAGTCAAACAAGTGAAGCCTCGTGTGTCAAATGCCTAACTTACCATGGCACAAGGAAGTGAGGTGAAGTGAAGAAGTATACAAGTAACTAGCCAAGACAACAATAAATCATCATCACATGAAAATGCTTGAGAAAGGTTCATAACAAAATCACACAAGGAAAGGATCACAAACAACCCTAAGTGGACATAAGTCCTCATGCAATGCTATCAAGCAAAACAAGTTGAAAGAGAAAGGATATGTGAAGAAGGAGAGGCAAGTATGAACACAGTATTCAAGTAGCATAGTTATCAAGATCAATAAGAAGTTCAAAAATTCATTGAATTCATGGTATAGACACCAAGTCACACAAGCATCAATCAAAGTTGACAAGTAAAGTGAACTATTCTTAACAAGAGATATGCGCAATTAAGCATGACATTAAGCATCAAAAGAGGTAAGGTCATAAGCTTAGACATGGTTTTAATAAACATAAGAGACCTTAAGACATCATAAAGGCATCATGGCAAAGCATACTCAAGGATAGAGAAAAGTAGTAGACAAAACCAAAACCTTAACATGCTTCTAATGGAACATGAGCAACAAGAAAGGTATAGATGAAGAGAGATCGTGAAAATAGGGTTTCAAACCATACAAGTCATAAGAAAATTACCTATAGTATCTACCACACAATCATCATAAGCATCAAGAAGCAAAGGCAAATGATATGCTCAAAGAAAGAGGCACAAGTAGGCAAATAAGCATGTTCAACTTCACACAATTGTAAACACAAACAAAGGTGCATAAAAGGACCTATAAATTGAAGTGATAAGGCTTTAACTCATGTCAATTAAAGTGAATACAAGTAGAAAATAATATCCCTAATGGTTTCACAAGTGCATCCCTAAACATTAAACTTTGCAACAAGTATCAAAAGAATTAGGAAAGCATTGAATTGCACATGAAAAATAGTTAGAAGCTTGGAAAAATTATGAAAAATTAAACATGTTAAGGTGAAGTCAGTGCTTAATGGAATCTAAAAATGTGCCTAAGGAAAAGTGCAAAAGGTGTTCAAACAATATCAAACTTTAAGCAAAGCACAACGTATTGAACACACAAAGCAAACTTCAAAAATTAATTCAAAAGTGAACCAAAATTAATGATAAAAATACAAAACAAGCATCAAAGTGTCATATATACATGTGACTATATGTGTGGAAAAATTAGGATCAAAATCAAATGGGGAAGATCAAAATTAAAACCCTAATATGAAAACTAGGTCAAACTATGTACATTCAATCATAAAATCAGAACCAATTATCAAATTAATTCAAAAATGAAATTAAAATCCACATAAAATTAAATAAAGTGTTAAATAACATTTATTAATTTTTTGGTAATTTTTGGAGTTAAGGAAATATTTTAAATAAATCAAAATTGAGAGAGAAACAAGAATTAACAAAGGAAAGGTTGGGGGTGTAAAACTGAATAATAAAATACACTATTTAATTCAAAACACAGTTGGGCCAGAAATAAGGGGGTGCAAAAATCACAACGTAGAGGCCCAGTTCGTTTTTAGCTTTAATTGTGTTTTCAGAATTTATTAAAATAAAAAACAAAATAAAATCTAACAAAGTTATGTGATATACCATCAATTGGTTATGGTACCTTAAGTCACTAGATGACAAAACAACGAAACAACCAATAGCCACGCGACACCTTATGGTACCTTATGTGGTATTCTTCATGGAGATAACAAAAACCAGAATATCAACTTCTGACTCAAATATCTCCATCAATATCTCATCAAATTTAAAAAAGTAAAACTCTAATCTACACTACTTCATGAGTAGTACAAGAATATGCCATCAAAACGCATTTATACATACTCTAACATCACGGAATATAAGCAACAAGGTAGGCATACGAAATTGAAAACATGAGATCTAAATTTTTTTGCAAACATCAGAAATTCAAAGAGCTAACCAATGTATCTTTTAGAGGACATCCAAATGCGTTGCATGAACATCATCATATCATCCTAAAGCATTATAGCAAGAGAGTTTGAAGAGATCTTGCAAAGTGGAGAAAGTCCACTACCTTTTTGCTTCCTTTAAATCTTCAGAAAACCCACCAATCTTGTTCTCATGATCTTCAAGGAACAAGAGAGAAGCCAGAAATCCGGAGAAAAAATCAAATAGAAAGAGCTTCTAGTGAGAAAATAGCTTGAGAGAATTTTTACTTTAGATCTCACTTCCTTTGCCTTCAAAACCGTGTGTGTTGTTATGAGAGTGAAAGAGTGGTTATATAGAGAGAGTGTGTGAGAGGTAGAGTAGAGAGAAAGTTTGTTTAAGGGCAAAAAAAGAGAAATCCAAAATAAATTGAGAGAGAGAGATATGGAAGGTGTACATTTTGCATGGTCTGTGGGTGTTATCAAGTCGTTTTGGCAAGAGAAATAAGGGTGAGATAAGCATGAATGAAGGCTGTTCACATGTGGGAAAATGATACAACTTTTTAGTGGAGGGAATATTCTCATTTTGGCAAATTTTGGCATGTGCATGCATGCATTTCATGAGCAATGCTTGGTCATTTAGAGGAAAGAAAAGAGAGTATTTGTGTGTAACAAGAATAAAAAAGACATGTTGCAATCAAAATTTGTGAATTTCAAAACAACACTTTTTCATGCAATTCAAAATCACATAAACAGCCAACTTCTCTCTATTATAATTTGGTGAGTTTTTTTCAAACAAGACAAACTTGGACTCAAAAGAAAGAGAAAAGGAAGATCTATAACTTTCATGCTGGAAGTATTTTGAAATGAGGCCTAGAAACACCTCAAAATTGACCACGAAAATTTCTTCTTGAAGCTGCACATGAGATTTAGAAAAATTTTCTAAGTGTTGGAATTTGGCATACTGAAACACATAACTTTAACCAATCACAACTTGCTCAATAATGATCTAATGGTTATGAAATTGACATGGTTGGAAAGCTTGGAATGAAAAGAACAATTTTCATCTTGAGATTGTTTTGATTCGAAGCTTTGATCAATGAGAAAAATGACCATGAAGATGACTAAATAAGCATGCAAACTTTCTAAAAATAGTAACTTTCTAAAACCCTAATTTTCCAAATTAGATAAGTTTCCATAATTCTTAATTTTTGATGATTCTCTTGACTTTTCTTGATCAAATCTCACCCATTGGTCATGTTTAACTTGTAGAACACAATTTTGACCATAAAAGTCAGGAGTTGACTTTTTGACTGGGTAGTTGACTTTTCTTCATTCAACAAATTCACTTGTCATCTGATCAATTAAACCACTTCTGATTAATATTGATGATCAATCTTTCACACATAAACTCTTAGGGACATGTAGAAAGTCATGGAATCAAGTTTTGCTCAAAGAATTAGAAATAAACTAATTTAATCATAAACCCTAATTTCAACTACAAAAGATAGAAGATGATGTTCAATGTTCAAAACCCTAATTCTTATGGGGAATTTAGAGAATCTCTTGAAAAAATATGTCTTGTGTAATAAGATGATGATGGTGCTTCAAGAATCTTATCCATAAAGGTGTCACACAATCAATAGATCAAAACCCTAGCACAAGAGCCAATGGATAGGAGAAATATTATTCACTTCAAAACCCTTGCAATTTCAATCCTTTGATGAAATGGTGAACATCTTGAGATGTCTTGAGGCACAGAGAGCCTTTGTGGCTTAATTTGACCTTGGAATGAGAATATAACATCCTCTTTGTGTTGATTTCCAAATATTTCTCTTTTATTGCTTGAGTAAGTCAAAAAGAGAAGAACACATTGATCCCATAATGATGCATGAATGTATATATTTAGAGAAACATAACCCAAACTAGTCAAAAGATAAGAGGGTAAATTTCAGGGTGCAACATCTGCCCCTATCCAATCATCTTAAACCAGAAGGTGAGAAAAAGCGATAACTTCCTAATATTCAAGGTGAAAGAGGATTGAATACCAAAAGAACCCAAAAATTTGCACTCTGGATAAAGCAAAGGTGTAGAAACACTGGTTATTGTATTTGTAAGCCATAATGATGGTAAGAAACAAGTTGAGTGAAGGAGAGAAAGACTGGTAAATATTATATCTTGCCAAAGAGTATTAGTAGAAAATGGATTTGAAAGGTGTGTGCCAATAGATATTGGACACTAACCCAAGAGGACTAATAAATACTAGACTCTAGAAGGAGACACACCAGGGAAGAACTAGTTTGCAAAGGAAGATACGAGTAGATACTCAACCCCAAAAGACTAGTAGATACTAGACTCAAAAGATACCAATAGATATTGGATCCGTAAGAATGTGCTAGGTAGGAACTAGTGCACAAAAAAATAATGAGTAGAAACTCGGCCCAAAAAGACTAGTACATACTAAACTTTAAAGATACCAATTGAAATTGGATTTGTAAGAATGTGCCAGATAGAAACTGGTGCACAAATAAAATAACGAGTAGAAACTCGACCCAAAAAGACTAGTAGATACTAAACTCTAAAGATACCAATGGATATTGAATTTGAAAGGGTATACCAATAGATATTGGTCTCGATCACAAAGGGACAGTAGATACTGAACCTAACCATTAGAACATTGGCCAAGCATTGGGGATTGATCATAGGTAATGAGTAGATACTCGACCTAAAGAGTACTATAAAGAATGTAGAAACTAGTGCACAAACAAGCTAACAAATAAATATTCGACCTAAGAGGAACTAGTAGATACTAGACCAAAAAAGTACTCAACAGGATACCAATAAATATTGGATCCAAAGAAAGGTGACAAGGAAGTACGCGAACTTCAAGAACACTTGCTGGTCTCGATCGAGGAGAGCCGGTAGATACTGAATCTAACTGAGGAGTAAAGGAGACAATGAGACGAGTAGCGGACTCGACTCAAAAAGACTAATAGATATTATACTTAAGAAGGACGTGCCAATAAATATTGGATCATACGCCAAGGTAACGAGTAGATACCCGACCTAAGAGTACTAGTAGACACTAGACTTGAAATCAATACCAGGAGAGAATTGGATTCACAAGGTACACCAATAGATATTGGAAACGAGCCAAGAAGGCTAGTATAAACTAGACTTGAGAAGACGATCATTGAAAACTAAACAGGAGGGGGTTGCACCAAGGTGGTGAACTCCAATAGATAATACCAAGAATTGGGTTTAAAGAAGACCAGACGTGTACTGGACTCTAAAGAAGGAATAATACCTACTAATATCATAGAGGATCACCAATAAACATTGGGTTTGAAAGGAGTACTAGGTACTGGCAACAAAGAAAATAAAACTACATAATCCCTCGAGCAAAAGGCGGGGTGTAATCCTTCAAGAGTGACAATTATCTGAACTTTCACACACAAAACAAAGAGGTTCAAACAAATGGAAATGAAGACAGGTGATACACCAACTCTAACTATCACTCTAACTGCAAAGGCAAGTACGGACGAGGTAACCGTCAACACTTGCAATAAGTAAGGACAAAACTTTATGAAAGCCTATTGGGGGAAACCAAATGAATAACTTAAAGGTTAAACTCTTTAGGAATAACAAAAACTGGGCAACCACACTAGGGAAAACGAAAATAAAATTGGCTTATGCTTCGATGCATGTTTAAGTTTTTCTATGGAGTAATGTTCAGGTTTGTTGTACCTCAAAATTTTCCCTCTCAATTCTTACTGTACATGGCTTATGTTTCCTCATATGCGTTCACTTGATTGTTTACAAGTAGTCTAAGATAGATCTCATATCCTACCAGTTCGAGGTGCTAAGACTTCTCAAGTCTCATGACATCTCAAACCAATTCTTTGTTTCATTGGAAGATTCTGAACTTGCAAGTACTTTGGAATGAATCATATTGTCCCTGTTTATTGGCTATGCCGCATGAGTTTGATTGTTGAAGTGTGTGATTTCACCCTTTATAAGATCTTTAAAGAATTATCATCCTAAGTATTGTTTGAGTACACTTTCATTCATCAATTAAGATTCAGTGGGCTAAAGATTCTCATGGTCATTCTCATTTTCATGCTTCAAACGATACCTTTGTTGAAATGAAATATAAGTGCCAAGAGATTTGTTGAGAGCAAGGTTTTTTTTATCGATGGAGATTGAAGATTTGGATCATTGTGAATTTTCTATGGTAGGAGTATTCATTAAAGTGATTATTTTGATCCAATTTGCTAAAGTAATTTCATGTTCCAAAGATTGGAGTTTTGAAACGAACAGTAATATGAATCTGAATTCTTTCAAAATATTTCAATTTGTTTTTACTAAGCATTATGGAAAAGAAAAGACGATCTCAAATTCTCAAACCTCATTAATTACAAGAATGCAACAATATTCTAAGTGTTCATTTTTCAAGCATAATGCAAGAATGGATTCTAGAATTCACATGCCATTGACCAAAATTCCAAAACACCTTGCAAGTTAATTTACAAAGTTGAATCATAAAGTCCCCTATTTGTTCTAAAAAAGAGATACATAAAAAAAGATTTTTGTTCAAACTTCAAGTTCCCCACGGCCCTTGCTTTGGTTTCATCTTCAAAGTCATCATCATCCTTCAAGCTCGTATCAATGGTGAAAACATGAAACAAGAGGAAAAGAAATAATCAGCAAACAATCAAAAGTAAATAAAAATTACAAATGATTTAAACGCATCATTAGGGTAGTTTTAAGAATAAGAAAATAGGGTGTTTTGTGTGCTAAGGCCTCAAACATTTAGTTCAATCATGGGCCAATACTATTTCAAATCACAAATCGTTTTGGTTCACAATAGAAGAAAAGATGCCAACAAGAATTCAAATCAGAGTTCAGCCTAATAGAATTTCAATTCCAGCCCAACAGAAAAAAGCCTCATACATGTTGTTTCACAAAATCAGAACATACATCATTGGCTTAGAAAATGTTACTTTTTGCAAATCCTAAAAGTAGATTTTGGTTCACAAAAAGAAGAAGAAAAGATCAGGGAAAATCATAATGAACATCATGTTTCACGCAAACAAAGAGCCTCATGTGATTTCATATCAAAAGAAAAACTCAGAAATTGTAATGTCAAATCATAGGCTTAGTCTACTTTACTGCAAAATCTCAAATACCATGCTTTTGTTCACAGAAAAGAGAGAAAAGACTCAGAAAAGTATTCATCACAGTACAACAGGCATAGAGTACAGAAAACTCAGCAAGCTAGCATTACAGGAAAATAAACAAAGTACCAAAATTTGTACAATAAGCAACCGGCCAGCAAGCATCCAACATGAGAAAAAAGCGACAAGTACAACAAGTACCAAAATCCAAGTTTTATCACAAGTGAATAAAAATCCAACAAGCAAACGTTCATACAAGCAACAAGTACAACAAAAGTAACAAGTCAAGAAAATCCATGCCCTCAAGTCAGCGTAAAAACTCGTACAAAAAAAAGGAAGCCA